GAGAAGCGTAATAGGTGTGTTCTAATCTCGATACGTCAAGGTGAAGCAACTTTGTGTTCTTAAAATGCCAGTATCATAACCATATTGCACTTATACGATAATATGAGTAGCCACTCTAATTTATCTGTTATATTTTCTAAAAAAATATTTTATATTGCCACGTTGAAATAAAATACGGGTTTAAAAAATTAGGTGGACGTCCTGATGTTGATTTTGTATGTGGTCACGATAACTCCCAAAAAATTGACGTATCGAGACCAGGTTTTTTTTTATTAGGCTTACATCAACTGGTTTTTTATTTCATATCAATAGCCAAGTATGCGTAGTTTGGTAATAAAATTATTTTCAACTTTTGTAAGTTTTATTGCTACTAAAAATTTAAAGGCACTGTCATATTTTTACCACGTCGAAATGGCTGAAGACTCCGTACTACAACAAGTCCCATCCACAGAGATCGTAATCCTCGATGATTTTAACGCCCACCACGCTGAATGGCTTGGTTCCCGTTTAACCGATCATGCGGGTAGATCTATTTATGACTTTGCCTTGGAATATGGTCTGACAGAACTGGTTAGTTTCCAGATGTGGAACATCATGTGCCTTCCCTGTTGGACCTTCTGCTGACCTCTCCTCCGGATGGATATCAGGTCTCCGTCGATGCCCCTCTTGGCTCTTCGGACCATTGTCTGATCCGGAGTACGGTGCCACTCACGCTCCCATCGCAGTAGCAATCTGCAGCTTGCCGCCGTGTTTGACACTGTAGGTCGATTGGGACGGGATGCGATCTTTTCTGCATCCTACCCTTGGAGGTAGATGTTGCTGATTCTGTCGCTGTTGTGGTACTTCAGGGAATGGAATTATTTATGCCATCATCTGTGGTGCCTACAGGAGGCAGAAATCCGCCATGGTTTGGTTACTCTTGTAAATTGCATCACGCTATAAGCAGGAGTGCTACCGAGCCTGGGCTGACGGATGAACGACCCGGGATGTAAACACCAGCGCTCTTAAAAAGAAGTATAATTCCGCCTCTAGGTCAGAGCAAGTCAGAATAAGTAAGGCAAAGTCAGAGCACATCGGTAGAATTGGCGAGAAACTAGTTCGCCTCCCTTCGGGAACCCGTGCACCCGAGAGACCCAGAATGCACGTGATTCTGGGTCTCTCGCCAAGGCTGTCCATGGGAACTTCTGTCAGCCTTCTTTGCCATCTCTGCACATGGTGAACATCTCACTGGCCCGAAGGAGAAGGCTGATCTGCTAGGCTCTCTTTTTGCTTCCAATTCGACTCTAGATGACGGGGGGAACACACCGCCGATCATACCGAGGTGTGACTGCTGCATGCAGGAAGTGCTGTTCACATAGCTCTAGGTGTGTAAAGCACTCCTCTCCCTGGACGTCAACAAGTCGAGCGGGTCTGATTGAGTCGCACCTATTGCTATGAAAACATGTGCTCCGGAGTCGGCACCGGTTTTAACACGTCTTTTCCAGTACTGCTACTCCCTAGCAAGGCGATCCCGATCCCTAAAAAGGCGACCGCTCAGATCCGCCCAACTACAGGCCTATCGCTATCACCTCCTTGTTCTCCAAAGTAATGGAAACCATTATTAACTGCCAGCTCATGCGGTACCTTGAGAATCACCAGCTGATTAGTGAACGCCAGTACGGTTTCCATCAAGGTCGCTCAGCTGGTGATCTTCTAGATTACCTAACTCATAGATTGACGGAGGCAGTGGAGTCCAAGAGAGAGGCGTTAGCCGTTAGTTTGGACATAGCGAAGGCGTTCGATCGAGTTTGGCACAAAGCGCTTCTTTTAAAGCTGCCTTTCTACGGGCTTTGTGAGAAATTGTGCAATTGGATCACCAGCTTTCTTGCAGATCGGAGCATCAAGGTTGCAGTAGATGGCGAATGCTCAGATTACAAGCCCATTAACGCCGGTGTTCCACAAGGCTATCACCAACGCTGTTTGTTTTGCATATCAATGATATGTTGCAAACCGGTAACATTCATTGCTATGCAGACGACAGCACTGATGATGTTTTATACAACGGCCGTACCAATATTTCTCGGAAAAACGTCACCGTGTACCGGAAAAAACTTGTGTCTGTAGTCGAGACTTTGTTGAACAAAGTCTCAGACTGGGGGCGACTAAATCTAGTTCAGTTCAATCCCCGGAAGACACAAGTTTGCACTCCCCTTGTTGCCTCAGCCAGTATCGGAATCCTCGGTGTCGACATATCGAGTGACGTGCAGTTTTGTAGTCATTTGGATGAGAAGGCCAAATTGGCCTCTAAAAAGCTTGGCGTGCTCAGCAGAGTGGGACAGTATTTCATGCCGGCACACCGCATGCAACTTTACAAGGCGCAGGTTCAGCCTCACATGGAATACTGTTCCCATCTCTGGGCAGGGGCTCCCCAGTGCCAGCTTCTTCCACTTCACCGCACCATTAGGTGTACCGTATGCTCACTTGACCCCTATCCTATAAAAAAATATATTTTTTAAATTTGATAGACAAAGGACAAATTAATGTACCACGCAGCTTATGTCGATTTTATACTTTTTGTAATCGATTTATTTTTATGAACGGTTTTTTTCCAATCCACACTACCTGTTAAATTAATAGATCGCTAAATTTAATACACGTAAATAATATATTTTAAATGTCAGGAATAAAATTAATTTTTTTCATCAAAATTAAATGAAATGCTCACGCGTGCATTTTTGGATTTATTCGAACTCTTATGTTAATTAAATGATCGTAACAAAATAAGGATATTTGATTTCACATTATTTTTTAACTTAAAGTAATTGCGGAGATATTTTAATGAATTAAATTATAAAGTTCTTTTAGACTCATCGATTGTTGTTTTAAAAAAAGTGACAGCCTGTACAAAATAGTAGTTGGCTTCTTGGATATACATATGATTTAGTTTTATGATAAAATCAATTTCGGTTGCTATTTCTTTAAATAAATAAAACTATTAGATAACCTAATCTAACCTAACCAAGCCTAAATTTTATCACAAACAAGTTCAGGTTTTTGAAAAAAAAACCAGGATTTTATCAGGATAATGATAAGATTAAGTAATAACTTTGTCTTCTTTCGGTTCTTGATCCAAGTTGGTCCAAGGTGTTTGATCAAACACCTGATTTTACCATAAACCTGCGACATATAAATAAAAAAAGAGGAAATATTGAACTTTTGTTTCCTCAACTATTTCTATTTTACATATTTTCTGCCATCTCAAAACTATTGTTACGAGCTTGGGGTTCGAGACAATTAAAAACTTCCGATTGAATTACCAACATTGACACTTTAATTACACAACACTAATTACAATCTAAAATCACACTAATAATAAAACACAGTACGCCGTTATTTCAATTCGAAGTATTCTCTTGTATCGCCAATTCAATACTGCCTCGGTCGTGGTCTATACCGGCCTTATATAGGGCCTCAGATAATTTCCAGAATCTTCTACTGTAGCGATATCTAGAATGTTCGAGTACATATCGGTCCCGAAAATTCTGGAAGGATCTTGACTCTCCTAGTTCTGCTACTCGACACTAGAGGGCGCTAGTGTAACTAGTGTTGCCATGTACAAGACATTAATAGTGGCGCGTAACACTGCCCCCTCCTAAGACATGCTCGTCCCGAGCATTATTGGCCCCATAATAACGCGCCAGTCGATCCACATGGACGATCTTAGGAGTACCTCTGGCACCTTTCTGTATCCGGTAGGTTACGTCATTGATCCTTGTCACAATCCGGTACGGTCCGTCCCATTTAGCTTGAAGCTTAGAAGATTTCCCTTTGCTGCGAACTGGATTGTGTAACCACACTAGTGAACCTTCGTCAAACCCTTTGTTGTTCATTTTGCGGTCATACCGTGTTTTCATCTTCTCAGACGTTTGCTGGCCCGACTGTCTGACGTGCTCATAAATGTCATTCATTTTGTTCCGCAAGTCATTTGCATAATCGGTTATACTGCGTGGGGCATCAGGTGGTATTCCGGTGATCAGGTCTGCAGGCAGCCGTAATTCTCTCCCAAAGTTTGCGAAAGCTGGCGTCACTGATGTACTTTCGTGAACAGTGCTTCGATATGACAACAAAAATGGTTGTATGTGCCTGTCCCAGTCTCGTTGCCGTTTTTCCACAACTTTTGCCAGGTATCCAATGTCTGAATAAATCGTTTCGATATCGATTAAATCGTTCTACCATTCCATCAGATTGTGGGTGGTAAGAAGTTGTTCGTGTTTTATGAGTACCCATAACTCTGCAAGTTTCCTGGAATATTTGAGACTCGAAATTCCTTCCTTGATCGCTGTGAATCTCTAAGGGTACTCCAAAACGACAGAAGACTTCATGAACTAGTTTATCTGCAACTGTTGAAGCTTCTTGATTTGGAATGGCGAAGACTTCTGGCCACTTAGTGAAGTAATCCATCACAGCCATGAAATACTTGTTACCACTTTCACTTTCCAGAAACGGCCCCGCAACGTCAATGGCTATCCTCTCCCATGGTGCACCAACATTGTACAACTTCAATGCGCCTCTACTACGAATTTGAGGTGTCTTTACAGCCGCACAACTTGTACATTTGCGGTACCAGTCCTCGACATCGTCACGACAGTGGACCCAGTAAAACCGTTCTCGGATCTTCAGTAGAGTTCGTTTAACTCCCAGGTGGCCTCCTGAACAACCACTATGGTACAGCTGTAGAACATCCGGTACTTTAGCCTTAGGGACAACCATTTGCAAATGACAACTGTCTCCCCGACCATTTTCCCATTTACGGCACAGGACTCCATCCTGAATCAGCAAGCTGTCCCATTGGGCCCAATAGCTTTTCGTGGTCGAACTCATTGCTGAGACGTCGCTCCACTTGGGCTTAGGAGCACTAGCTTTCATCCATTCCAGAATCGGCTTAATGTCCGAATCTTCCTACTGTGCATGTTGTAGGCTATCCTTCCACTCATTACTGAGCTGGTCTGTCCTGAGCATCCTCACAGATACCACTTCCTTACCCTCTTGCCTAGTACAATGCTTGCAGTACAATCAGGGCAAGGTCTTCTTGACAATGCATCTGCATTGCCATGAGATCTCCCGCTGCGATGTTCGATCACAAAGTCGTATTCCTGCAGTAGTTCAATCCATCTCGCAACTTGTCCTTCCGGATTTTTGAACTGCAATAGCCATTTTAGTGCAGCATGGTCAGTTCGTAAGTGGAATTTCCGCCCTAGAAGATATTTGCTAAAATGCTGCAAGGACTTTACCACAGCAAGCAATTCCCGTCTTGTAACACAATAGTTCCTTTCCGACTTTGACAACGACTTGCAGACGTACGCTATCACAATCTCTTGATCACCATTTCGTTGAGACAACACACCGCCAAGTCCTATATCACTTGCGTCTGTGTCAACTATGAATTCCTTGCCTGCATCAGGGTACCCCAAAATAGGTGTTTTGCACAGACGGTTCTTGAGCTCCTGGAATGCAATATCGCAACTTTCATCTCAGCAGAAATGTCGCTTCTCCTCGGTTAGCTTGTGCAGAGGTTTGGCTATATCTGCAAAGTTCTTCACAAATCGCCGATAAGAAGAGCACAAACCCTAAAATGCTCTAACCTGTGTCTTGTCTTTTGGAACCGGCCACTCATTGATAGCGGCAATTTTCTCTGGATCCGTGCGGATACCTTCTTCCGACACTACATACCCCAAAAAACTAACTTGCCGTTTGAATAGTGAGCACTTCTTCGGACTCAACTTGAGGTTGGCACTCTGGATCTTCATGAGCACGCGTACCAGGTTTTGATGATGTTCCTCAAACGTACGGCCTATGATGATGATGTCATCCAAGTAGACCAGACAGGCATCTCCAATTAGCCCGGTAAGTACAAGCTCCATCAATCTTTCAAACGTTGCTGGAGCATTGCACAATACAAACGGCATGACTTTAAATTGCCACAGACACTTTCCTGTGGAGAATGCAATTTTCTCCTTGTCCTTAGGGTGAATTTCAACCTGCCAGTAGCCACTTTTCAGTTCCAGCGTACTAAACCACTTTACGCCTGTGAGCATGTCCAGCGTGTCATCAATTCTAGGCAAGGGATAGCTGTCCTTCTTCGTAGCGTCGTTCAGGCGGCGGTAGTCAACACAAAACCGCATGCTGCCGTCCTTCTTCTTTACCAGCACCACAGGTGAACACCATGGACTAGATGAAGGTTCAATAACACCATCCTTCACCATTCCCTCAATCATGGTTTCCACTTCCTTTTCAAGTGCTACAGGCAATCTTCTTGGCCTCTGAAATATAGGCAATTCAATTTTGTGTTGAACTAAGCCAGTCTTTCCTATGTCAGCTTCGTTTGACGAGAAAACATTGGAGTACTTGAGTAACAACTTGTTCGCCTTGACCATTTCATTCGGGGAAAGAACGCTGCGACAGTCTTCTAAAAGTGTGGTCACTCTCGTTTGTCCATGCTTGCTGAGGGACCCAGTCGATAGATATTGGCAACGACGCAACCAATCCACTTCCTCACTAGTACCAACCGATGTGCCTTTTTCTATAATCTGTTCCTGATCACAAAGGCTTAGCACACGTACTCCTGAGATGTCAGCGGTTCTGACCAAGGTTCGAGCAACTATCCATGGAAGGTCGTTGTCTACCCTTTCCACGAGTACACAACGAAGAGTTTGCTCAGGATTCCGAGGAAGTCTAACCGGCACAATAGTTTCCGATCTCGGCGGAAGAACAATCTTCTTAAGGCTGTACACATTCCCTGGTAACGCCCCTTCCATGAAAAGTTCCTCTTGTCCACATTTCAAAACACCTTGCTTAACGTTGATCTCACAACAATTCTTCCTCATAAAGTCTAGGCCCAGGATGCAGTCGTCCATTATATCAGCCACGATGACATTATGCAGGTAGATCATGTTGCCTAGCTTCAACTCCATCTCCTTCTCTCCACGGACGGGTATGCGCTGATCGGTGGCTGTCACCAAATTAATGCGTTCTCGGTTGTATGCGGATTTCCCATGGAACCGACTTATAACTTGGGAACTGACAACCGTGCAAGAGGCTCCAGTGTCTATGGTCAGTTTACACGGCGTTCCGTTGACTTCACCCTTGATAATTAGGCTATTCCCATCATGGGTTTGTGAGATCGAAATCCTTGGGGCTCTTTTAACATCAGCCAGCACCTGCACCGCAGTCCTGGCGTTTACTCGTTTCCATGCTGCTGCTGGGCGGTGCTATTAGCCGCACTACCCTCTCGAGATCGATCACCTTACCTTTCTACAGTTCGCTTAGGGCAGCTGGATCGAAGATGACCCCTTTCCCCACAGCCGTAGCACCTAGGGCTGTAGCTTTTATTGCGGTCCTGAACTATAGCTGCTGCAAGCTCCCTGACGCGGTGGGAACGATGATCCTGCCGCACAGCTTCCACCTACAGTGCGTGGGTCAAGGCATCCTTAAGCGTCTCGTGGTGCCCGAGCCTCACAGCAGCTCTGACTTCAAAGTCGTGGATGCCGTCGATGAATGTCTGCACCAGGTTCCCTACAATGAGCGCAGGTACAGACTGGTACGCTTTTCGAAACTGCTTCTCCACCTCAAGGGCCCACTGCTGCAGGTTTTCGTTACTGCGTTGCACGCGATCTTTGAGCTGCGCACGAAAGACGTGTTCCAGGTGAGCGTCGCCATATCTCGCCTCCAATGCCTCAAGGAGCTGCGCGTCAGTCACTTTCTTACCGAGAGCTTCCAGAACAGTTAAGGCCTGGTCGCGTAGGCATAGGGTGAGAGTAGTCATGACCTGACTTTTATTCCAGCCGTTCGCTTTCATGACAGCCTCGAACTGAATTTTGTAGGCCGACCAGGAAGAAGTCCCGTCGAACGGTGGCACTTTGAATCCACGTAGCGAAGGTGTTGTAGCTACCATGGGAGCTGTAACTCCATCCCCAATTTTGAGGTCGCTCAGCGTATTCTTCACGTCAACCATCACATTGTCAACTCGATTGTTCACTTGGTCGATTCGGGTTTCAGCTTCCGACAGGCGGTTGTCATGTTGAGCAACCCTATCCTTTACCTCCTTTATCTCTTTCCCGAAGGTAGTGTGAAGGTCCTTCATGAGAAGAAGCTGCTCTTTCAACCGACGGCCCTGTTCTTCCTGTTGGCGGACCTGTTCCTCCTGTCCGCGCTGCAGCTGCTCTTCCAATCGACGGGCCTGTTCCTCCTATCCGCGCTGCAGCTGCTCTTCCAACCGACAGCCCTGTTTCTCCTGTCCACGGGCCCGTTCCTCGTGCCGGCGAGCCTGATCCTGCAACATCATCATCAGAGCACCTAAGTCAGGTGCTGCAGATGCAGGAGCTGCTGACGGGCCGGCCTCCGTGGTCAGCATCTGGCCCTCCGACGTTTGCGGCGTTGTATTACCAAATCGTCTCTGGTCCGCCTCCAGCTGGCGTTGACTTCGGGTACGCATACCCTCCATGTCGTCCTTTGGTAAAATCGGCATGATTTGATTCCACTTCTGACACCAATTGTTACGAGCTTGGGGTTCGAGACAATTAAAAACTGCCGATTGAATTACCAAAATTGACACTTTAATTACACAACAATAATTACAATCTAAAATCACACTAATAATAAAACACAGTTCGCCGTTATTACGCTTCGAAGTATTCTCTTTTATCGCCAATTCAATACTGCCTCGGTCGTGGTCTATACCGGCCTCAGATAATTTCCAGAATCTTCTACAGTAGCGACATCTAGAATGTTCGAGTACATATCGGTCCCGAAATTTCTGGAAGGATCTTGACTCTCTTAGTTCTGCTAGTCGACACTAGGGTGCTAGTGTAACTAGTGTTGCCATGTACAAGACATTAATAGTGGCGCGCAACAATGTTTGTATGAATATGTATATTTATGTTATGTATTATGAATTGTGTACGTGGGCGTGCGTAAGTATAATAAAAAATGGGCAATCTATTGGTGAAAAGAAACTAGCAACATTTACACAGTGTCAATGTGCAAGTCAGCATGTAGTTACCAGAACCATTACAGCCCATCAAAAGTCCACAGCTGAATATAGTTCTCCCCATGAATTGCCTTATAAGGGGGATATTTGCCATGCGCCAAGAGAGTTGGAAACCATTTTTTATTATTTTTATTCGACTATTATTAGGAAGATGCTGCTGCCCACCTTTTGATTCAGTTTACCTCTATCGCCTCTTACGACACCCACGGGATGATATCGGGTAGTGTAGTTATTTTTACACCGCCACTACATAGTTAAGTTAGGAATTATTTCTTCTTCATCAGCCCGTAAAAGTGTATTGCTGGATATGGATTCCTCCTGTTGTGGATAGGATTTTCTTTAATTGTCACGCTTAGCAAATTAGTTGTCGCAGTTCCAGAAGTCTCGCATTTTTTTGGCCTTTTCGTTTACTTAAGCCGCCAAGCAAAAGTGGTCGCTTGGAAAAGTAGTATAAGTTCTTAAAATATGAGTATAGACCAAAAACGTTTAATTTTTGGAAAGCTTGTAGTATATATTCATTTTTTTAATCAAATCAAAAAATATAAATAGGAAAGTGTAGATATCCTAAACACACAGACTTGTTAATTCAATTTGATTTAAAGATCAAAGATTTGTGAACAGCTATGGATTGCATAATTCTAAAAAGGAGTATGCTAGGGCTGAATCTGAATGACAGGGTGAGAAATAGTGTGATAAGAGAAAAGTGTGATTTGCAAGATGACGGTGTGACCAGGATTAAGAAAGGAATGCTTCGGTGGTTTGGTCATGTAGAAAGAATGAACGAGGAAAGAGTGACTAAGCAAATTTATGTTGCAGAAGTAAACAGCAGAGTCGGGAAGGGACGCCCTAGACGAAGGCTTATCGACCAAATTAGCGATATATTGAAAATGGGCCAGATTAGGAGTACCCTTAACCGACGAGCGTGTATGTGTAGATATATGGATGTAAAGAAGGAGAGAGAGGTGTGTCAGGATCGTGCCAACCCTACCCTCCAAGCCTACCCCTCTGGGTGACGGGCGTGAGTATTTATGTAGTTCTAAAAATTAAAAAAAAACGGCTTTAAATAAAAGCATTAGATACGATCTCGAAATGAAGACGTAGTTTTTGTAGCGTACGGCAAAATATTCTCAACTTTTCAGAAAGTCCTGTTAAGGGTTGCGCTACTAATTAAGCTTTTTAAAGTAAGAAGAAAAAGTTATATTGTTAACATTAACCGTTGCAGTGACGGGATAATAATCAGTGTAGGATACTCTGATTATTACCGCGTAGCAATCAGTGTACCCTAGTCTTCTTCTGCGCTGCAGGTCCACATCACATATACGTGTGATTCTACATTCGAGTTTATCTTCGAACTCATAGTATAGGCGTGCGTTGGGTAAGAGTGGATCTACCAGGGCCCGAGTGAATCTGCGTTTAGGCGTGTTTATGACTATATAATATCTCCTAGGCAACTGATAACCACTCAATTTACATTTCAAAGTTAAAGATGTGGTTAATGAATTTGTGGTTAAAGTCAAACAGGAAAAAAATACTGCTTAAGTTATATATACTGCTTAATATTTATAATAAAAAATAAAAGATCCAATTTCAGTTTGTTCCATTGTTTAGAATTGTTGAATTGCACTCTTTGAAAGAAATAACAACCGCCGGTCCAATTCCTTTTGCGGAACTGTATAATTGGAGTTTGGCTCAAAGAAACTAGAGCTAGAGTATTAGTTTATCTAGTTCGTTTTAATCGTTGTTAGCGGCAGCTTAGTTTCTATATACGAAAATATTTAAATACCTGTCCCTCTATATAAATTATAAAAAAAATTTATAATGTTATAATAAATTGAAAAGAGTATTTATATCATAAAATAACAATTAACTAATTACTCTGGGAGATTTTTTATTTTCATTTTATTTGATTTATATTTCATTTATTTTAAAAGACATCCCACACAATTTAGTTACAATAATTATACTATTTTTTGCTTTCTATGTTTCCATTACATATTATGCTTATTGAACTATTAATTACAGGTTGTCATAACATGATTAAATTAAATGAAAATAGGAGAAAAATTAAACAATGTAAGAAAAAAAGGCCAATATACACAAAAAAAATATAAATAAAATACATAACAGAGGTGTATCCACCCAGACTCAGACTCAGAATAATTTTTATTTTATAATAATGAAGGTGTCGTGAAAAATGTAGAGACATGTGTTATCAGTTGATTTTGTTGACGATTTTGTAGACGTTGTTCTGCCCTTTTCAACGACCCTTTATATAAAAAAATGCTTAAATTCGTAATAAAGTGTCACTTATCGGGATAAGAACTATACTATCTCTCAAGTAGCACTGCACAGAGTGTCCAAATTTCATTGAAATCATTTCAGTAGTTT